GGCAACATCCGAGTACCACCAGTTGCCTAGCAAGGTGTCAAAAACTTGATGACCCAAAAAAAAAAAGCCACAGCCAAGCAAGACACCTGCCTGCCCACCCAGTGGCGCTCTTCCTCCTGTCCAAGGTTTTCATTGTTGTGAGCATTTCTGTTGAGGATTGGCAGTGGGGGTGGGGTGGGGGTGTTTGGTTTTTATTCCCCCCGTCTGCTGGGTGGTTGCAGCAGGTTTTGGTCACTTCACATGACCCTGGGACACTGTGACAGTCATAAGTATGAATCAGTTGCCAAGCATCTGAATGTAAATCACAAGACCCTGGAGATGCTGCAACATTCCAGCTGATCGGTGCTTCTTCTGGGCTCATCAGAAGCGCCAGGATCAGTGCTGCTTTCCAGCTGGAGCCTGGCGCTGATCCTGGTGCTTCCACTGAACCCTGACAGTCCCGAAGAAGCGCTGATCCTGGCACTTCCACTGAGCCCTGACAGCCCGGCAGCTCCAGCCATCTCTCGCTCAGGCTTGTACGGTGCTGCCACTGGTTCAGCTCATTCCCCTCCCCCGCTACCACTTTTCTAGGATGGTCACATACCACCTGCCAGGTGCCAATGTACCACAGGTGGTACCCGTACCACTGGTTGAAAAGGTTAATCCAGGTTTTGGTTAATCCAGTCGTCGGCCTTTTAGGTACATAAAGACAGAAGACTAGAAATACTACCAAATGATCTCTCCTCTTTCTGCCCAATTAACATCTTGGTGGATAGAGATGATGCATCTAATTGACTGCGCAACATTAGTTGTTATTAATTCTTAGCAAGATAAATAGATAACAATTGATAATAAATAGATGATATATAGATGACAGATGTGTGTGTGTGTGAGAGAGAGAGAGAGAGAGAAAGAGAGAGAGGCAGGTAGACAGACAGACAGACAGATTTTCTCCATCACAACATAATAATAATAATAATAATAATAATAATAATAATAATAATAATAATAATAATAATAATAATAATAATAATAAAAAAGTTGGAAGGGACCTTGGAGGTCATCTAGTCCAACCCCCGGCTCAGGCAGGAAACCCTATACCATTTCGGACAAATGGCTGTCCAGTCTCTTCTTAAAAACTTCCAGTGTTGGAGCATTCACCATGTTCCACTGGTTAATTTTTCTAACTGTCAGGAAGTTTCTCCTTAGTTCTAGGTTGCTTCTCTCCTTCATTAGTTTCCATCCGTTACTTCTTGTCCTGCCTTCAGGCGCTTTGGAAAATAGCTTGACTCCCTCTTCTTTGTGGCAGCCCCTGAGATATTGGAACACTGCTATCATGTCCCCCCTCGTCCTTCTCTTCGTTAAACTAGACATACCAAATTCCAGCAGCCATTCCTTATATGCTTTAGCCTCCAGTAATGTAGTCTTCCAATGGTGTCCGGTAGTAAGTTAATATTCTTGTGCCTATCATAGATAAACTTGTCAAGCATGTCCATAAGGAGTATATGAGCACTATAGTACTTCTGCTTGTTTTCCCCTGACATTTTCAAAGATATACTGCCTTCAAAGACAGCCTGCCCAATAGTGGAAGTCATATATATCCACTGGTACCTGATGGTTTTGTCCTTGGTGAATTTTTATAATTCTTTAAAGCCATCCACATTAGTGACCCTGATCACATTAGTGATCCTGCTGTAGTAAATTCCATAGCTTATCTTAGTGATGTGTGAAGAAATACTTTTTTATCTACCATGAATTTTTCATCATTCAGTTACATGGGATGACCCTGAGTTTGAAAGATCAAGAGAAGAGTTTTTGTCTATCCATTTTCTCCATACCACAACGAATGTTAGAAATCTATCCCTTATCTATTTTTAATAATAACACAGAAATTTTTTCTCTTTCTTTTATTCTCCATTCTGATTTAGTGCCCATCCTTTCTACTCTAAGGATTATTTGCCCCCTACTAACTTCATCTTATTTACTAGATGTGCTGATATAGTAATGAATATCCGTATATGTTGCTGAGATAATTATGTCCCCTCTTGTTGAAAATTAATACAGTAATGTTTTGTTTTAAGTAGAAGAAGCATATATGATTAGTCTCTGGAGCTACTATGTTTAAAACACTGTTTTCATTAGAACAGGCTGTCATGTTTATGGGCATCCTCCATTTTAAATTAAAAATACTTTCTTGAGGGGAGAAAGTTCTAGTTTTATAAATGAGCTTATTTTCTTCCTTTTCAAGGAAGAAAAAGAAAAGGACAAGAATACTTACGCGTAAAATTGGATCATAAAAAATCTTACTTTTTTAAAAAAAACATGGAAGCTTATATTTTCCCCCTCCTTTCTTCTTTTATTCAAAACAAAAAGGCAATTAAGCTTTATAAGAGATTATTGTATTAATTTGTGGAAAATGATAGTGTATAGAAATATGCTAATTTTATTCCAGTTTTATCAAAAGAAATGCATTACATGAGTTGGGAAGACTGAATACAGTGACATCTTTTTCATGTTTTTATTTCAAAGTGCTTTTTATTTAAAACTTAAATAATCTATGTAAGAAGGCAAGAGAAAATTTTGATAAGAACCTAGCTATCTCTAGTTTCCTGTAATTTTAATTACAGGAATGAATTTTCAACAATAATCTTATAAATGTAGACAAGAGTAACTTAGTCAAATCAAGGTGATTTCAATCAATTATCAGAGATGGATATGTGGCACTTCTGATGCTAGTAAACCCAACTTCTCTAAGCCTGAAACGGGTTTTGTGGTCCAGTAAATTTTGTTAAGCTATGTGTTACTAGGATATAATGGATATAATGGATGGAGTAGTGAAAGTGTTATTTGTGTGTGGCATATGTGTTTATGAGTATGAAATGTCCATATATTTATTGTGCATGGCCATCCACTCCTATGCATACAAGTATCTGCAAGTTGTTCCTTCACAAAGTCTTTGTGCAGTTCTCAGTGTCCAAAAGATGGTTCTGGCAATCAGAAATTGTGCATTTCTGTCCACTGCAGTGTGTTACTTTACAATTAAGGCTGCAATCTTACTCTATTTTAGAGTAAGTCCTGTTGAAAGCTACAGACCTAAGTAGACACGTTATGCATATTAAACAAACCACTGCTTAGAAGTTCAAAATCTTTGAAATCAGCCTATATACATGTCTATGGAGATTCTCAGTCATCCAAGTCATGGTTGTCCCAAAGGTGCTTTTTCACGAGGCAACTGGACTTTCTTTTTTCTCTTTGAAGACATTTTGCTTCTCATCCAAGAAGCTTCTTCAGCTCTGACTGGATGG